ATTTGATTTGGTGACAGTATAGAAAGTCTTCTCTTAGGTTTGAAACTTGGGGATGTTTGCAGCAAGTGTATTAAAATCTGAAATATAGGCTGCCTAGGGGAAATAAAAACAAATCTCTGTTATAATGCCAGCACAGTTCACTGCTGTAAAAAACAAACCAAAAAAAAAAAATCTAAGACTTTTGAATTTTACACATGGGAAAATGCAAAACAGACTTCCTCTTTGGAGTTTTCCCAAGAAGCTACTTTATAAGGAAAAATTTAAATCTTTCCTCGTTTTCTGTTCTTGAAGGTGGTAAATATGATTGCGGCTTTATCCACTTTTATTGTAAATGAAACAGAGTTCAGACCGTCCGGCTGTGCGTCATTTGCTGGATGCCTGCCACGGACTAATGCAGACGTCCCACTGGGAGACCAGAGAAGAACTATACTTTGATTCACCAGATTGTGTTAAATAGTCCAGCTGTTGCGATTTGAAAGATAGTTACCTCAGAAGTGAAATAGAAATGAACTTGGCATTTATTCCTCCAACCATTTTTATACTGTTTGGCAATCAGCTTTTCAGAGGTAGCATTTTATAAAATAACTCTCATGGCTTAAAAGTTTCATTCACTGTAATGTTCAAAATGTCCCACCTTTATATTATCAGTAAAATTAAGCTTGAGTGATATGCAGAATTTGCATAAAATAAGCATTTCCCCTCTTTATTTCGTGAGCTTTGATTGTACTCAGTTGAGCTCAGAACCATGTCTATTAGGGCTCTTTGGGGCATTAGTTAATTTGAATTGCAGCCGAAATGTTAGCTAGAATGTTGTCGAATATAATTGGAACGTGGAAAGTTGATTTTGAAAGGAATTTCATTGAATGCAAACAATGATGTGCTTTTTAAAAATTAGAATGCCACCCTTTCATCTCTCCTAGGCAGAGTCTGGGAAATGACTGAGTCTCTTTATGAAGTTCAGCTTCAACAATGCCATTGGCAATTGTTCTGATTCTTCTGGTACCAGTCTGGTTGGAGTCAGGTCTTTCCTTGTACCAGCTAGTGGCCCATTCTGCACAAGCCCCACATCCTGGCTTCCATGCAGCAGGGGAAAATCGCTGTTTTGTAAAAGGATGGCCAAGTTGTACTCCGGCATCAGGCTCCATAAAGTGGCATTCGTTGATATATTGTCTCCTAGTGGTTATTTTGCTCTTTGGTTCGTTTTTGTTGTGAGATGGCCTCTGTGCAATTGATCTTAAATGACCCATTCAAAATATCTATTTGAGTGAACCATAAATGACTATTAGGATGTTGTGGATGAGAAAAACAAAACCATTGAACAGAAAACCAAGATTTCACAATATGAGTCCTTTGCTAAGAACAAGTTGTATACCTTCGATTTTGAAAAATACTTAATTCATGAGTTTTTGCCATTTTCTTCAGAATGAAAAGGTTGGACTAGTTTTACATCAGTGAACCCTTTAATCTTTAATCCTGAACATCTTGTGGTTTTAGTCTTATTTATTATCACCTATAATATTGTTTTATCTGGACGTTTTGTAGCATACAAAAGGCAATTTGCCATTACTTTTCATGAGGGATGAATTTTAATTGTTTGCACTAGTCATTGTTCTTGGAGGCAGAGGTAGAATAGAAAGTTTGGATAGAATAACAGTTTATTATAATTTCTATTGGGCTGTTGCATTTGAGTGCCTGGAAGTTCTACCTTCGGATCCTGCCTCCCTATGTGCATAAGCCTGGGATTTGGGTACCATGGAACTCTGGCTCTTCCCATTTGATGGAAATGGAGATGATAATAGGTCTAGGAGGAAGTTCCCTTGTTCCGTAAGGAGCTTTGGATGGCTCCCAATGGGAACCAGGAATGGACCTAGTTATGGCAAACAAAGAAAAACTATTTGTCATGGTGGGGGCGGGGTTGATGGGGAATAAAAAGATAACGTGAAGAAATAGGCTTTAATTTTACAGATCTGAAAGATACAGCTGGAAACAAGGATGCAGAAGGAAATAAGTCATGCCAAACTTAGTCTGTGGCATCTTTCTCACGTTCCTGGGGTGCTTTGGTAACCAGCACAGTGCTGGGAAAGGAGGGCAGTGGAGAAATGGGAGTTCCAGATTCTTCTTCTGCCTTTGCTGCTGTTTTAGGCCAGGCTCTCTCTCTCTCTCTCTCTCTCTCTCTCTCTCTCTCTCTCTCTCTCTCTCTCTCTCTCACCCTAAGATTCCTTGTCTGTAAAAGAAAGGGAGGGGTAAATGATTGCCATGATTCCTTCTGTAATTCTGAGTGCTTGATCATTAACCTTGAAAAATCAAAATTCAAAAATTCCTCTGATTCCTACAGCAGAGATTCAGAGAAATTGCCCACTGTGCCAAGTTCAGTGATACTCAACAAAGAATTTCTCAAATTGTAGCCTACAGGTGACTTAATAATAGATTACAGTCAAGAAGCTTGCTTCAAGAAAGAAGAACAATTCTTTGGGCAGACAATCTAGGACAATTTCAGCCTGACAATACAAGGCTTCTGAGTTCACGGTTCAATCAACATTCATTTGTTGCTGTATTGGAGCTCCCCCGAAAGCATTCCCGGATGTTTTCAGCCTCCAGCTGTTGAAGAAAGCTTTAAAAAAATTGCTTACAAGCCCCCCCTTCACCTGCAAATACACAGGGGCATGAAAATACTCATGGTAGTTCTACCGAAGTTATGAAGGTCAGTATAGGTTGATGGAAGTTGCTTATCTAGAATGAGATGAATACTTCCTTTGCATGCTTCCAACAGATTGATTGGCTTACTTAATCACAGTGGGCTCGAACCTAACATGGTGGAACCAACTGTTACACAGCCTGAAGGCCTTTTGGTTTTGTCTCTAGCAACTTAGTCAGGTTAGAACTTCATTTTCTAGAATTCCAGTTTGTGTCCAGTTTAGGATTCTTCCCAGGGAAGATTTGCATGAGATTTTGAAGGCAGAATTGAGGCAATTACTTTTTTTTTTAAAATACAGACCAGGCACCCTGGCAGTGCATGCATGTTGTCGCCTCAGTGGCATGTGACAGCAATTTCTTGACCCTATCTCCTTATCCAGCTTCTCCAAATCCCCGGTCAGGTGCATGTGTAGCTTGAGCTTGCCCTACAACTTGTCTGCGTCCTGAAAATTAGAGATTTAGACTTCAAGGGACAGGTGTAGCCTTGATTTGTCTTCAGCGTCTGCCACTTTTTATCCATCTTCTTTCTCAGCTGTCAGGATTGTTGGCATTATCCCATACAGAGGCAGCAAACTTGAATAGGCTGTCAGCTAGCTCCCCCCGCTGTTGGAGGTTCAGTTCCGAAAACGGTTCCCGTATATCATGCAGAGGGGATGACAGAAGCTCTGTGGCCACAGTGGAAGAGTCTGAGTCAGAGAAAGTCAATCTAGGGACCACTGGGGAACTATCCCTCAGACTGATTCTCAGAGTGTGGTAATGAACGTCTTGGCGAAGGACAATGGTGTTCTCTAATTGAGGCAAAAAGAAAAGAAGTCTGCCCTCACGATAGCATATAGTTCTCATCTCAGCTTAATGCTCGTTTCTTTGTTTTTATCACCTTCAAAAAAAAGGGTTTTGTGGTAGTCAACTATGATCACTGCAGCACATGATTAGTCTAACTGGTTAGCCAAATGGATTGGTTTTCAGACATTTGGACAAATCTCAGTACAGGTTAGAATGTGATACATCTACTGTGGCCATTGGGTTGAGATTTTTATACCAGTGACTGGATCATGCAGGTCACTCTCTTTAAATGGCGGATGATTTGTTCTGTTGTTTTTGCTTCTTCAAAGAGACAATCAGACTGATTCACATCAAAGGCTTGGGTTCTGCCCATTTGTTCTGAACCTTTCATAGTTCATTAGTCTCTTCTGACTCATTTCCTCTACAAATGGGCACTAGATACTGAGGCTCTGTATAACCATGAACAAGATGGAGCAGCCCCTTTCTCGTGGACAGTTAGCATTCTGTTTGAAGACAGAAATTAAAAACTAATTATACTTAGTTTTTAATTATAACTGAGACAAGTCCAACAAAGGTGAGTCATTTGGTGGTGAGAGTATCTGACCTACTCTAGGGGTCAGGTCGTGATGGAGGAAACTGAGCTCCTGCAAAGGGACTGTCCAGTTGCTGCCCAGTACATGTCCTGATAGCGAGAGGGAGAGTGGGTGGTGCGGGTTCATGGTGGGCATCTGGCTATTTGTGCAGAGAGGTATGACTAGCCCCCACCATGCCCAGCAGCTGACCAGGACTTCTGAGAGGAGTAAATGCGAACAGTTGGATTTCCTTACCCATGGCAAGACAGGGAGTTCAGGATATATCTGCACAAGGGGTTCAGCATTCAGCCAATCCCATTCAACCAAGAAGTAGTAGCTTCTTGCATCAGAAGAGAAGAGAGGAGGGGGATCTCAGTGGGAAAAAAAAAGCAACTTTTTAGTCTGAGTTCTCCCTGGTGCCCTGCTCCTTTCCTGACTGCCCCTGCCCCCAGTCCCATCAGAGCTGGCCGCAGCTGGCAGGACTCCCTGCTGTCCATCGGGATTGGGGTGATTAAGTTTCCTCCTTGGCATAGTCTCTCCAGAGCTAAGCTGCAACCGAATGTACCAAAGGACGGTTGGGGGGTTTCTGGCTTCTTCCAGCCCAGGGAGGGTGGGAGGATAGAACCTAGTGGAAAGCTGGGCACAGCCTACCCATGAGCTTCGCGCTTCCTGAGAAGAGCATGTAATTAAGCAGGTAGGTGCGCTTGACTTTTGAACATTTCCGTAGCTAATTGCTGACTTTCCCCACCTTCTTTTTTCCTGGCCTTGTGCTACTAATATGTAATCTAATGACTTTATTATTTTTTTTTCCCAAATGGCTGGCACCTCAAAAGACCACTTTCTGCATGTTGATTAGTCTTAGAACATTCGGGGACTTTTTGTTCATCTGAATGAGAGACAAATATTCTCTCTCTGCTTTCTTTTCGTTTTGTTTAACTCCTTATTCCCTAGGCCTCCCAGTAATGCTGGATGCTGGACACAATGCATTGGCAGTGAAAAACAAGCTGAACCGGTTGTAGTTTTAGATCCTGTTTCCACACACGAACCCCAAACCAAAGACCAGGTCACTGAAAAAGATCCAACTCAAGACAAGGAGGATGAAGGCGGAATGAAACCAGAAAACAAAGAAGCAAGCAGTGGAAAAATTAGAGATTCCGACAGCTCCAGCTGCTGATCCATAACCGTGAAGGCTGATATGCGTGGAAGCCATTTTCAATAAGCACATGATCAGTTCAGGATTGGCAAGGGCTATTGACATTCTCTTCTTATCACTGTATTCAGAACACATTTCTTTGCTGATGTTGCTTTTGTAAGTAGTTCAACCCTAAGCTAGTTAGCACAATCTATAGCCTAAGTAGTCTCTGTTTGTTATCTTGATAGGGGTAAGGTTTTTCATAATTACTACATCAAACATGACTTCCCTTAGAAGGTTACAGAAAACGCTTTTCGATAATGTGCATACTGCTCATCAGATGTATTGTTGAAAGTTTGTGGTACTTGTAGACCATTGGATAAATATCACTGATCAATGTAATGTAAAAGGTTCCCCACAAGTTTCTGTTTGGGGTCTGATCCTCTTTTGATGGGGAAACTGCAGTAGCATTGCTCAGCACTGTGGCATATGAATGACTAATAGATTGATGGATTGAGAAGATACAGGAGCTGCCATGAAACTAGTGGTCCTATGTCAATGTTAATCACACAAGTCCTTCACTACAGGATGAAAATCACTTGATACTGACTGTGTGCAAAGCACCCCAAAGACTTTGATTGGTAATGCACTAGTGGCCTGAATGCAGAATTGAGGTGAAGTCCAAACCTCGAAATTAGAGAATATTTTCTTGGCAAACCATGTGCTCTCTACTATAAGTTAATTATGTTTTTTTTCCATCTACTAATGTAGCACAAGTACCATATTTTGTTACAGTTCTTAGGTACAGTGAAGCTAAGTGACAAGCAAACAATTTTCTTGCTTCACTGCTGTTCTACATTACACAGGTTTGTTGTTATTTATTTTTTAAGAAATTAAGTGGTAGTTAGTCTCTTAAAGTACAATATTTCAGGCTCCCATGGCGAATAAATAGAAATGTAATCAGGGATTTTTTTTAAACTTATACAGCTTTTCAAAGTCAATTGTTTCAAAATTGGTGTTTATTTAAAATAAGTGGTAATGTACTTGAATGCATTTTTTTATGACAATGATTCCGTAATGGTAATTTTACTATTAAAGAAAGTGAAAGGTTTAGTTTTGTTAGCATGGCTCAGCATGTAGCTGTCAGGTGTTTCTCACCTAAGGGTAAAAGAAAATGATAGTAATAATTGCAGTAGTTGTGTTGTGTTTTATTTTTGCACGTGTGCTAAACGTAGGCTGGACGAGGTGGGTAGGCAGGTAAATGTACTTCCTAAATTTGGAGATAATTATCTTTTTGTAGGTCTGTTACACTTGACTATTGCCATGTTCTTCCTGTAATGATTTTACAGTAACTTAACAGTCTCCTCGTGGGGAATTAAAATATAATGTTTTCAACTGTAATTTTCCCTAATTGAATAATACTGCTATATTATAGACTAACCACAAACTGCATTAATTCACTTAAATTAATTGTTATGCTGTGATTTGAACTCTTTTCACCACACTTATTAAAAAGCACCAAGAGTTTCTCATTCACGTTCAGTTGTGGTTATTGACATTCGGGGGCTGAGTTCTCCAATCTGCTTGCTTTTGTTCAGGTTTTCTCGGGGTGGGGGCAAAGACAACACCCGGTTGTTCAGGGCTTACTCTGGATTATGTTTGGGAGCACTTTCAGCAGTGCTCGGAGGAGGAGCCTGCAACACTGTGGCTCAAACCCGCGCCTCCTTCATGCAAAGCATGTGCTCAGCCCGTTGAGCTGTCTGTCTCTAGTCCCCCGTCTTGCCCTTTAATGAAACTATAAAGGAATTGGTAACTTTAATTACCTACAAAATGTCTTGTTTTGAGAAATTTCACTTGGTATTTCTTGCTTGCCTTCCTATGTCTGTTAGCTATCTGCTTGATATCTTAGACAAGTGTTGAGGACTACAAAGATGTGAAGGCTTACTAGTCTCGATTTCATCACACACTCAACAGAATAATGCAGTTATCCAAACACCCCCATTGCTAAGGAGTGAGAGTGACAAGTCAGTGGGGAGTATGCCTGCTTTGCATGCAACTGACCCAGCTTTGATCCCTGACACCGCAGATGGTCCTCTGAGCCCACCAAGAGTGATTCCTGAGTGCAGAGCCAGGAGTAAGTGCTGAGCAAAACCAGAATTACTGTTTGGTGAAATGTGTTAACTGGTTCAGGAAATAATTAGTAGGTGCTATTCTATAAGTTCTTTCCATTTACTAAGTACTGGCTGCCCTTTACTATGGTCATGGAGCCTTTAGAATTGATTTGGTGAAAACTATTATATTTTTCTGCCTCCCATTTTTCTCTTTTCCCATTCACCTCAGTTGTAAGAAATTTTGCCCCTACTGGGTGAGGTACTATTGTGCAGATGAAGAACACAGCAGACCAGTGCTTGGTCTTTTGGGGTACGTTCTTAGCTCTGCAAAATAAATTAATTAATTTTTTAAAAAAACTAGACCTCCCACACTTAACAGTATTCGAGTTGGAAGGGATTGCCATCTTTGTCTTTTTGTTTCCTCTAAAAGATTATTCATTGTTCCTTCCTTTTGACAATATAAATGACCTCTTACTCACGCCAGTTTTTATAATATGTATGCAGTTTTTATGGCCCGAATGAGGTCAAGGAATAGGTTTTTTTTTTATTAGTGAAACACCATGAGGTTCAGTTATAGACTTACAAATTTTTGTGCTTGGGTTTCAGTTATGCAATGATCAAGTACCCATCCCTCCACCAGTGCCCATTTCCCACCACCACGGGTCCCAGTATCCCTCCCACCCCCATCCCCCCTGATCCCACCCTGCCTCTGTCGCAGGGCATTCCCTTTTGTTCTCTCTCTCTCTCTCTCTCTCTCTCTCTCTCTCTCTCTCTCTCTCTCTCTCTCTCTCTCTCTCCTTTTGGGTGTTGTGGTTTGCAAGAGAGGCATTGAGTGGCAGTCATGTTTGGTCTATAGTCTACTTTCAGCATGCTTCTCCCATCCTGGGAGGATCCTCCCAACACCCTTTATTTGGTGATTCCTTCTCTATCTGAGCTCCCTTTTCCCCTAGCACGTGTGGCTGGCCTCCAAGCCATGGAGCAAAATTCCTGGTACTAATCTCGGCCACTCTTGAGTGTTAGTCTCCTATTTTGTTACTTTATGTTCCCCAGATGAATGCAATCTTTCAGTGTCTATCCCGTTTTTTCTGACTCATTAACAAATTGTGCTGGCAAAACTGGACGGCTACATGTTAAGCGAAATAGGTGTGTTTTGAGGGCTTACTATTTCTGCAAAGCATCAAAGGCCTCTTTCCCTTCTGAAAGAGTAAGAATTTGGATCTGAGCCAGTCTCAGGTAAGCTCCTTCCATTGAGGCTTCTGCAGCGGTCCATCCTGTGGCAGCTCAGTGGGATGGACTCGCAGGCCACTAGCCATGGGCCTTCCGTGGTCTCAGTGGGAAGGTGGCTGCTATGACCGTGGCTCCACCAGCCATGCCTCCTCCCACACCTTCCTTGTCAACAGTGAATTGCTAGAAAAATGAGTTGTGGGTAATAGTGTTCATTCTCTTTCCAGGCTTGGAATCTAATTCACAGAAAAAAATTAAAACATAGAGAGAATTTTTATGATATATAATTACATATTTTTATATAATGTTAATTCTCTTTCCAGACTTGGAATCTAATTCACAGAAAAATATATATATTTTACATATAATATATACATATTATATATAATTTTAATTCTTTCCAGACCTCACAGGAAAAATTTATATAATATATATACATATCACTGTATCACTGTCATTCCGATATTTATTGATTTACTGGAGAGGGTGTCAGTAACATCTGCATTCATCTCAGCCCTGAGATTTTACCAGCCTCTCCTTACTTGTCTTTCCCAACGCTGCCGTATTGGAGGCTCTTTCAGTGTCAGGGGAATGAGACCCGTTATTGTACTGTTTTTGTCATATCAAATACTCCACGGGTAGCGTGCCAGGCTCTGCCATATGGTTGGGATACTCTCTTAGCTTGCCGGACTCTCCAAGAGGCATATATATATATATATATATATATATATATATATATATATCCGTCTATGATTTGTTGCCTACTATCTGAACCCCATCAAATATGGTGTGGTAATTACAGAAAATGGGTAGGGGGTGTCTTAATCACCATGCTCCAGGCCGCTTTCTATATGCTCGGACTAAGCCTCACATATGAGTGAACATATTCCTGGACATATCATAAGGCACTCCCTACCCATATACATACACAATAATATATATTTAATATAATCTTAAAAATGGGCTGGAGTGATAGCACAGCGGGTAGGGCGTTTGCCTTGCAAGCGGCCAACATAGCCGACTTGAGTTCGATTCCTCCACCCCTCTCGGAGAGCCCGGCAAGCTACCGAGAGTATCTCGCCCGCACAGCAAAGCCTGGCAAGCTCCCTGTGGCATATTCGATATGCCAAAAACAGTAGCAGTTGTCACAATGGAGGCGTTACTGGGCCCACCCGAGCAAATCGATGAACAATGGGAGGACAGTGACAGTGAATCTTAAAAACAGATGATTTATCTATGGCCACATTGTACATGTTGAATCACCTTTCATTATGAAACAAGGAGCTCCAGTGGCAGTGGGCTGGCAGAGCCCACTGCCCGCTGTTGTCATCATGGGTGTTAGAAGGATCAGTGGCCCGCCCCACATAGAGTTCCTCTCCCCACAGAAATTTCCTAACCCTGCCGGCATCCCAAAATGAGGTATGACCGGTTTCCTCCATCTCTGTTGTGGAAGATGTCATGTCGACTACCTCTATTTTTCTACTGATCATACAATGTTAAGTATGGCAAGAGATAAATAGATTCAGTGCTTCTCTGGCTAAGGAAGAGAAATTAAAAGACTCAGACCCCTTGGTGGCTCTGGCCCTACAGTGGAATAAAGGTAAGTAGGCTGAGCTCTACCTAGAAATGGAAGCGCTGGCCTGGATCAGGTACCACCTCACCTCTTTGAATAATTCTGATTGAGTTCTAATCTCAATTGTACCTTTCTTGTCTAATTATAATTGTGTCAAAATTTTTTAAAATAAAATTAAAATTAAAAAATTATAATTATGTCGAAGTTCCAGGGCACACTTCTAGATAATCTCAATTACCTTGCTGCTGTCAGGTGAGGACCATGAATTGAAGCAGTTCTCCAGACTGTGTGCAACTTCTGAGCCTGGGTCAAGCCACTGCCCCACCCAGTCTACTATATGGCCTTTTAGATCCTCTGTTAGTACAGAGAAGCCCAGAGCACTTAGTAAAAACTTTGAGTTCATGGGGAAAAGCGATAGTACAGCAAGGAGAGCACTTACCTTGCACACAGCCAAACTGGGTTCCATCCCTAGCATCCCATATGGTCCCCAGCCCTGCCAGGAGTGATCCCTGAGTACCGCTTGGTGTGGCTACCCCCTCCCCTCAAATTAAAAAGAATTAAAAAAAGAAGAAACTTTTTCAGTCCACTGGAAATCTAAACTTAGCCCACAGGTCAGTGCATAGCAGCTTATATAATTTGGGGGGAAAGCAAATGGTAACTTTTTTTTTTTTTTTTTTTTTTTTTTTTTTTTTTTTTCAGAATTTTTTTTTCCCTTTATTTTATTTTATTTTTTTTAAAGTTGTAGATTTACAATTTTTTGTGCTTTGGTTTCAATTATACAATGATCAGATACCCATCCCTCCACCAGTGCCCATTTTCCACCACCATGGATAATATCCCTCCCACCCCCATCCCCCCATCCCCCCGTCTCTGTGGCAGGGCAATCCCCTGTGTTCTCTCTCTCCTTTTGGGTGTTTTGGTCTGCAAAAGAGGCATTGAGTGGCAAACATGTTCAGTCCATAGTCTACTTTCGACATGCATCTCCCCTCCTGGGAGGATCCTCCAAACATCCTTTATTTGGTGCTCCCTTCTCTATCTGAATAGCCCTTTCCTCTAGGATACCCGGCTGGCCTCTAAGTTATGGAGTAATCCTCCTGGTGCTGATCTCAGCTATTCTTGGGTATTAATCTCATACTTTGTTACTTTATATCCCCCAGATGAATGCAATCTTTCTATGTCTATCCCTCTCTTTCTGACTCATTTCGCTTAGCATGATACTTTCCATATTGTACCACTTGTATGTAAATTTCATGACTTCATCTTTTCTAAGAGCTACATAGTACTCCATTGTGTAGATGTACCAAAGTTTCTTTAACCAGTCATCTGTTCTTGGGCATTCAGGTTTCTTCCAGTTTCTGGCTATTGTAAAGAGGGCTGCAATGAACAAACAAGTGCAGATGTCACTTCGACTATACATTTTTGCCTCTCTGGGATATATTCCCAGGAGTGGTATTGCTGGGTCAAATGGGAGCTCAATTTCTAATTTTTTGAGAATCGTCCATACTGTTTTCCAGAAGGGCTGAACCAGTGGACATTCCCACCAACAGTGAAGGAGTGTCCCTTTCTCGCCACATCCACGCCAGCATCGGTTGCTTTTGTTCTTTTTGATGTGGGCCAGTCTCTGAGGTGTGAGATGGTATCTCATTGTGGTTTTGATCTGCATCTCCCTGATGATTAATGATGTAGAGCATTTTCTCATGTGCTTTTTTGCCATTCGGATTTCTTCTTTGAGAAAGTTTCTGTTCATTTCATTGCCCCATTTTTGGATGGGGTTGGATGTTTTCTTCTTGTGGAGTTTAACCAGTATTTTGTATATCCTGGATATCAACCCCTTGTCAGATGTGTATTCGGTGAATATCCTTTCCCATTCTGTAGACTGTCTTTGTATTTTGGTCACTGTTTCTTTGGAGGTGCAGAAGCTTCTTAGTTTAAGATAGTCCCATTTATCTATCTCTGTTTTCACTTGCTCGGCCAGTGGCGTGGCATCTTTGAAGATACCATTAGCTTCAATGTCATGGAGGGTTTTGCCAACTTTATCTTCAATGTACCTTATGGTTTCTGGTCTGATGTTGAGGTCTTTAATCCATTTTGATCTTACTTTTGTACATGGTGTTAGGCAGAGTTCTGAGCCTATTTTTTTGCATGTAGCCGTCCAGTGATGCCAACACAATTTATTAAAGAGGCTTTCCTTACTCCACTTCACATTACTTGCACCTTTATCAAAGATTAGATGAGCATATGATTGAGGAGAGATGTCAGTGTATTCAACCCTGTTCCATTGGTCTGCAGTTCTGCCTTTGTTCCAGTACCATGCTGTTTTAATTATTACTGCTTTGTAGTACAGTTTGAAGTTCGGGAGGTTGATTCCTCCCGCAAATGGTAACTTTTAACAGGGGCCCTAAGCCAGTTAAAGCAGTTAGATAATAACAGATCTAAAGATATGTATTTGAATGGGTTTATTTAGATCACCTTTGCCATAACCCAATTATACCTTCCAAGAGAGACAATTCAGTTAACCTATACGTTCCATCACTTTTTAGTACCTATTAAATGGCATTGAAAAATTCATATTCATTGACTGATATGTTGATTCGTTTTTACCCATTCTTGTTAACAACAGAGAAATGGCAAAGATGTAATTAATATAAGGGAAATTAAAATTTATAAAAAGGGAAGAGGGCATTGGAGGGAAGAGGATGCTTGTGAAAAACAATGAAGCTCTCGCACTTCTGCCTGAGGTTGGTGGCATAAATGTCGCTGGCCGTGCTTTCTAGCATGATCTAGCACTTCTGTAAGATCAGCACAGAAGGTGTGTGCCTCTTCCTGGCACAGAGTCTACAGTTTTGTTTTCAGAAATGTACTGATTTGTAAAGTCAAAATATTTGTTGATTTTGGTTTGGGGGCCACATCCAGCAATGCTCAGGGGTTACTCCAGGGGTTCTGCACTCAGGAATCACTCCTGGTGGTGCTCTGTTGTTGCTCAGGGGACAAAATGCTAGAACACTAGCATTTTGCTCACTGCCATCACTTGGTATTCCTATACCAAATCACCAGCAGCAAGGCAAGCACCCTACCTGCTGTACTATCACAAATTCAGAATATTTGAATTGAGTGTGAAGTTGATGGGCCCACTCTAGCAAATCGATGAACACGGGAGGACAGTGACAGTGACAGTGAAGTTGATGGTAAAAAGAGTGATCTCTTTATAAGATGATGAACCCACCCCATTCCCAAATGGAGAAGGGAGCTAGTGTGCCAACACAATCCCTGCAGAAAAGTAATGGCTCTAAGACAGTGTTCACAGACACAATTTCAGGTAAAAGCACTGGCACTGTATTTGCCTCAACAGTGAACTTAGAGAATTAAAAAGAGTTTCCACAGTCAAGTGTACACGCAGAAGTAATATGAAGCAAACTTGAGACCTATCAGTCTCACAACACTCAAGGGGTAGCTGCAAATGTGGCTTTGACCATCTGCCTCCAAAAGGTACTCCTGGTCAGGTGGACGGCTCGGGCACTTCTGTGGGGAAGATGAGCTCCTGGAATTCATTCGGGTCCCCAGCCTGGACATCAGCCTCAGGCATGGCTGCACCCTGTTGTGCTTCCTCATGTAAGTCAGAAAATGTGTGTTCTTCATTTAAACCTGTTTGGGTTGAAAAAAAAACAATAAAACGAAATAATAAAGTTGACTGCCTAATCCCACAGTGCCAGTTGCAATGTTATTTGCTATATGATTTAAGAGATATTTATGAATCCGAACCACTTATCCACTTATTTATTTATATATTTATTTTGTATTTCTACACTCTAAATGTAAGTTATCTGGTGTAAAGGTTTTTTTTAAAAATAGATTTATTAAATCGCCACGAGATAGAGCATTACAAAGCTGTTCATGGTTGGGTGTGAGTCAATGTTCCAACACCCATCCCTTCACCAGTGTAATTTCCCAGAACCAATGTCCCAAATTTTCTTCCCCCCACTCCCCAGAACCATTTAAGGGTGAATCCATAGTTGGACATCAGTTACTTAGCACATGTGTTCAGTTTGCATTGTACCCTCCTACAACAGTCTGGAATATTTGATGTACAATGGACTTGGGGAAGAGGCTTAGTAGAAAAGGATAAGGAAGAAAATGGGCATAGGGGAAGGTGAATACTCTCCAGAAATACAAAGTCTTGCCCACTAACCATTCCAAGGTAAGACAGTTCCCAAATGGGTTCATGCAGATGGTGATGATGTTTTAGTGGTTAACTTTTACCAAGATTTCCCACCTAAAACTGAGAGTAGGGTGACTTGTTTCTGCAGATCTTGGACCCCTTAACTCATTGTTATTAATTTTTGGTCTTTAGATTGCACCTGAGTGTTCTCACGGCAAATTCCTGGCTCTGTGCTCATGGTTTACTCCTGGTGGTACTCAGGGATTGAATCCTGGTCAGCCCTGTGCAAGATGAGCTCCTTCCCTGCTGTACTATCTCTTGCCCCAGTCCCCTTAACTTCCTTTCCTCACTGCCAGTGTCAAAAATTCTCGCTAATTCTCAGAAATTCTCACTAATGCACTAATCCATTTGGGAGTGTCCTGGAGTTTACGCTGTCACCAGCAAGGAACTAGGCACTGATCACTGGAGTCCTTTCTGATGCCTCAAAGCATCTATTTCCCCTGTGGTGAAATCTGTCTGGGAATGTAATGGTCATTTAAAGGACTGAAGTCTTCCCCAAATCAGGACATAACTAAAGGAATTGCTAGGTGGGTTTCACACTATAGTGCTCACTTCTGAGTGGCCTGACGTGATTCTGTCCCTCAATTCCACATTTCCGCATGACTCCAGGCTGTTTCAAGATACTGCATGTGTTAATGATCGCCAGTTTATAATCACTTTTTCTACTGGTCTCTTCTTTTTCATTCTGATCCCAAATCACAAGTTGGAACTGCTTCCTTCTCCCAGTCAGCAATTGGCATAAACTCTCTACATTCATTCTATAGTGAACCTCTCATAGCTTCCCAAAATATTGAATGTTGTCAGCATTACTTATATAATACATACTTTTCCATATATGAATTATGTACTGAAATATACACAAAATCATTTTAGAATAATGATGACAACTACTGGTTTTCTTTAAATGCTCTCCATGTTCTCTGCAGAGCATCAGTCAATAATATAAAAAATAAAAATGGATTCTTTGGGGTGTTTCCAATTACCAGTAGCTGCCACCCATGCAAACTGACAAAGGACTGATGTCCTAAGTGATTGCTTCATCCCTCTGGAAAGCAGAGCCTTTCGACAGCACAGCATTAACATTTACATGTAGTCTCCTTGTCATGAGTAAAATTAATTGTTTCCAGAAACCCTTAGAAGAAAGAGTGTGTGTGTGTATCTCTCCTGGACTCTGAAGAAAAGCCCTATTTATAATTTGGACCACAACAAAAGGTGGGTTTGGAGATTCCAATCAATTAATTCTATTGAAAACCCTCATGCTGCCTACTCAGGATAAGAAGGGGGAGAGTTTTCAGCATTCAGGTAAATAGATAATCCATTAGGACAACAATATGCATTGTGGCAAATGCCATCCTAGTTTTGTCAGTGCTTATTTATGGTCTTTGGATTCTCCTGCCCTCCTGCGGGGGGACTTCTATGCTCCCTCTCCCAAGCTTTTGTCCTCTTACTCATGGCTAAGTAAAAACAAAGCGAGAAAGCATACCCAGTGTTCCATTCTGGACAAGCTCTTCCTCAATAGCAAAAAGGCGGTTGTACTTAGTCACCCGTTCACCACGAGAAAGACCTCCCAACTTGACAAACCGGACACCGAGTCCAGTGGCCTTAAGGAGGGAAAGAAAAAAAACATTTCCTTACAATGGAGGGGGTCACATTTGCATTTACAGGTCCGTATGATCCCTGCTGGTCTGGTGTTTCCTGTATGACTTAGTCGTCTCTCTCTCTCTCTCTCTCTCTCTCTCTCTCTCTCTCTCTCCTCTCTCTCTCCTCTCTCTCTCCCCTCTCTCCCTCCCCTCTCTCCCTCCCCTCTCTCCCTCCTCTCTCTCTCCTCTCCCTCCTCTCCCTCCTCTCTCTCCTCTCTCTCCTCTCTCCTCTTCTCTCCTCTTCTCTCCTCTTCTCTCCTCTTCTCTTCTCTTCTCTTCTCTCCTCTTCTCTCCTCTTCTCTCCTCTTCTCTCCTCTTCTCTCCTCTTCTCTTCTCTTCTTTCTCTCTCTCTCTCTCTCCTCTCTCTCCTCTCTCTCTCCCTCTCTCCCTCTATCCCTCTCTCTCTCTCTCTCTCTCTCTCTCTCTCTCTCTCTCTCTCTCTCTCTCTCTCTCTCTCTCTCCCCCCTCCCCCCGTAAGGAAAGTGGCCTGGCTTCCCAGCTGAGAGTCTGAAAAGGGTAAAGAGATATAGTGTGTCTCCACCGCAGACACTGCTCATCATGTAAGCCTGCTCATTTCGTCTCAGAAAATCCTGGCCTTTCTGACTTCATTTTAGGAGGTGAGATTGCACGTGTCCACCCCCTTCATTTTAGCGTGCTCATCATTTCCTCTGGACTTCAATTTCTCTTCTTTTTAAAAGTTCAAAGATTAGCTCTTTGAAAAAGGTAGCTGTCTGGGAGGAAGCAAGCCTATTTCATAAAAGGTTACATGACTTTCCTCTCTGAATACTGCATTTCTCTGAAATACCAATTCGTGATAAAAGCAGTGTTTTGGCCATTCTGCAATTGACCAGCTTCCAGCACTTACCAGATCCACGAGGCTGTCATCACAGGACTCTCCCTCTGTGCTTCCCAAGATGCTGATGAGCTTTTTACCTACCAGCAGAGGAAATGCTTTGAGTTTTACCTGGGACGCAGTGTATATGTGAGCTCGGGTCAAAACCTAAAGTTTGGCAGATATGTAAAACTTTCCTGTGAACTAGTCAAATGCTTGGGTCTCCTAAGAATTCTAATCCAAATATTTGCATTTTTATAAACCCTGGCTTTATAAATATTTTTTTGCTACCTCACCTGTTTTTAAGTAGTTTTAGATGCTAAATACAGGAAGAACACATGTTTTATCAAATTTAAGGTACCAAAAATTGTAAGATGCATCACTATTTCTGCCGAAGGGTAGGAAAGCTCCAGTAAAATGGATATATTTCTTTATAGTGTCCCCCCACTGCAGTTATTGGGGGGCCTCTGCCACCTGAACTATCCATAACCAGTATTGGGGAGATGTAGATGTAGTCTTGGGGAAAGGGGAAATTAAACTTGGGATCTTATATATGCTAGGCATTTACTCCACTACCGAGCTACTTCCTTGGCCCTAAATTGACACATTTTTTTTTTAAAGACCATACCTGTAAAATACAATTCAATTTTGTTCATATTCAACATGGGGCCGGGAGGAAAGTGCATCTTCGAGACAAAATGTACTTTAAATATAGGGGTATCAGATGGGGAGGGGATAATGCCTACCTGAATGGTTTAAAGATTTTACTTTAAAGGAATCTGTCATGCTGAATGCTTACTACAAGAGCAGTGATGGTATTTTATCAGTCATTTGAGGATCCCAAAGCCCTTTGGAATCCGCCAGAGTCCACAAAGAGTGGAAGCCACAGCTCTTCCTGTAGTGACAGTTTTTTGAGAGGCGAGAGCCGGAACAGCTTTGAGTGAATGACAATGATTTCAAAGCAGCAGATTTGGGAGGAAAGGCCAGGGCTAGAACTACAGGTGAATGATTAGCAAGAGACTAGAGCAATCTGCAGGCCAAGGGGCTCCAGGGACCCCTTCCCATCCTCCTGCACCCAGCTTAGCCTCTGACTGCTAGTCTGAGTCCCGTGTGAGCGCAGAGACTAGCCTCATGCCTCCTTTCCCAGACCCACTCCCGCTCTTCCTGTTTCAGCCATTGTGTATTGTGAAGAAGATGCCCTGAGCTCACAGGAGTGTACTGTCTAGTGTGGAATAGCAGACCTGAAGTAATCATATGGGTATTTGTGGTCATCCCCCCAAAGGGAGAATATAATCTGCTATGGGGAGGGCTCAGGCGAACTAGGGAGGGGTGCAGAAGGCAGGGATAAAAAGGCAAAATGATCCAAAAAAAGGGAAGAAGCCAAGAAACTTCTTGGATCAAAGAATGGCATGTTCTAAGACCTCATGGTGGGAAAGAGAAACTTCTAGAGGGGTTAAACCAGTGTTTTGGGGGGGCTGGAGAGGGAGAGTACAATGGGTAGAGCACATGCCTTGCACCAGGAACGATCCCAGAGTGCTGCCCAACACACAAATCAGACATTTATGTGTCCTAGAAACCAACAAATAAAACCAGTGTGGGCCCAGGAGGTAACGAGGTCCTCTGATGCCGAAGGGGATGGGTCCTTGTCTCACCTCGGGCAGCCCCTCTGGAGGCCAGTGCTTCTGGACTGGGGCTGGGTCTGGCCTCTTGTGAGTGACCCAGGAAGCCCTGGTGCCGTCCATAGCACCACCCCCACAGAAGGTTGGGCAGCTTTCTTTTCAAATTTATTCCTGGCTTCTGGTCTAACCAAGTCTTTTTTTTTTGGGGGGGGGGGGCGGTCACACCCGGCGATGCACAGGGGTTACTCCTCGCTCTGCACTCAGGAATTACTCCTGGTGGTACTCAGGAGACCATATGGGATGCTGGGAATTGAATCTGGGTAGGCTGCCTGCAAGGCAAATGCCCTACCTGCTGTGCTGTCACTCCAGCCCCCTAATCAAGTCTTTCTGACCCATGTTGTACTCACTGTCCGCAAGATTAGTAACTGTCACCAGGTCTGACATGGTCGTTTGGTTTGTGTGTCTGATGATCAACCCACTGGACTTGGGGTTGCTAATGGTTTCGTCCTCCAGAAGCTTAGCGATGCTTTTGGACTCAGCTCCTGCAATGATGTGACACCTGGAACCAAGAGCGTTATAGATGCTCTCCCACTGCTCGGAGTCCTGGGTGAATATGTAAGAAACCATCATTGTACAACATTACACACAATCGCTAACCAACAGCACTCACCAAGTACGCAAAGCTGCACCCGTTTATGAGACACACACAACAGTTTTCTTTTGCAGCTGTGGCTGAATAGGGCCCATACCACAGCGATACAAATGGATGAACTCCGTGGAACAGAAACTTAATTCCATCTCAGCTTAAAGATCTAGTGGGTCAATGGCTGCTCACTCTCCATGCTGACCCACAATCATTCAAACCCAGGCTTTATTCAAATGTGCCTCCGTTATATGATCCATAAGGCTGGTAACAATTGGTCAGAAGATTTTACTAACCCCCTCCAGCCCACCCTTCCCCCCCCCCCACACACACACCTCCCACGCTGGAAAGTGGACACTTTAAATAAATGCACAGGAACTATTTTTTTTTGGCTTTTTTTTTTTTTTGCAGGAGATCACCCTGGAAAGGCTCAAGGCTTACTTCTGGCTCTGAACTACTCTTGGTGGTGCTTGGGGAATCATATGGGATGCTTGGGATCAAACCCTGGATAGGGAATGTGCAAGGCAAATGCCCTGCCCACTATACTATAGCTCCAGCCCTACCCACAGGAACTCTCAGTCCTCACTCTCAACGCCTTTTGTTTTTATCAGTGAGGCCACAAAATGAAATGAACTCTCTGAAAAAAAAAAAAAAAAGAAGTCTTAAACCTTTGCACCAGATTTCAGCCTATCTCTTTAGAAAGGATCATCAACCATGAGGACTGGAAAGCTAGCACAGGGGTTAAAGTGCTTTACTTGCACACAACTGACCCCGATTTAACCCCCAGCATTACATGGTTTCCCTGGAACCACCTGGAGTGATCCTTGAGCACAGAGCCACAAGTGACCCCTGAGCATTGGCCGACACAGCCAAAATAACAATCAAGTAAAACCAGCTGTAGTCAGCGCCTGTCTTCTTGAATACCAGAAGACAGATTGACAGGCTGGAGAACCCACTCTCAGCAACCTCCCTATGTGCTGGGAAAGATGGAACTGGGGCGCCATGACTCCAAGGAGGAGCCCAGATTTAAAGAGGTGAGTCACCCCAAAGAGGTGACTCAATGTGTCTAGCGGATCTCACATTCATAAATTCAACAATGTAAATTCGGAGTTTAAAGTAGCTTAGGAAGTGAGGGTTCTGGTACATATAAACAACCCTTGTCAGATGCTTTCACTGGAATAGATTAAAAAAAAAACAACTCAGTATCTTGGACCATTTTGAAAATGGGGCTTTGTTGCTTTTATGCATATGCAGTAACCAGATTTAGATAAAAAAAAATCGTTTGGCCTAGCTGAAGTCCTGTTTCCGTGAGCACTTGAAAATGATCTGTGATTAACCTATTGAGGCACCAGCTCGCACAGCGGGCTTTGCTTCCATCAGCTTGTAAATATGCAGGTTCTCCTGAAGTGCTGGGGAATAGTGTGGTTCGCTGCATAGTGTGGCGCGCTCCCATACAATTGTGTTCCTGCTATTCATTCGCTTAGTAAGTGCCTTTGCTCATAAATGCCCAAATAAAGCAACTCAGGCCCAGCCGAAATGACAACACATTTTACATGACAGATCCCGAAGTATGAGGTTTTTCCTTCTGTGTTTTATTATCAGATTCAAGGTAAATCCTGTTACGTTACCTCCTTCCTGAATGGATCAATTAAGGCGATAATGGAGGGGAACTTGTTGATCAGATCCACGTAGAGGTCCACCATCTCAGCCATGTTTTTGTAGATTCCCATCATCACCTCATACTTTCCTTTACTCTGAAATGTGTAAGGAAAATATTAAAGGATAGGTGTGAGTTCCTCAAACATTAGACATCATTCCTGTTCTGGCGAACATTCTTTCCAGGCCCCATTCCCATGAAAACGTGCAGTTTATTGGTGGGGGATATTGGGTTATCAGTTGTCTCTTTGAAATGCTATATATTTCTTTCTTTTCTTCCCTTTCCTTTCCTCCCTTGCTTCTGTGAGGCCCGAGGCACCCACACTTGGCTGTGATGCTCAGTGGAGATTGCACACATGGCTGAGTGCACGGAAGGTCACATACTTCATTGTGACACCAGGGATCCCAAACAACAGAGCCATCCGCTGGGTGGTTCTCAGGCTTGTGGGGTGGTGCCAGGGATTGAACTCGATGTCTCATGCTTGTGAGGCAAGTGCTGTACCACTGAGCTATCCCTGCCCCCCACCCCAGGGTTCTTCCTACACTGACTTTCTAGGAAGACTCCTGCACCCAAAGACTGGTTCAGAACAGAAGGGGAACACTTACCTTCTTGGATTTACAGTGCTGAGCTGTGACACTTGAGAGGGCTGACAGTAACTTCAGTTCATGAACTGAAAAGGGGAGTGAGGCCGCCCTGCCTGGGCAGACACCATCTGTCCACTCACGGTGAACAGAGCCCGTTGACTGAATGTCCTACAGTTTGGAAGTAGGACTAGGCTTTGGGGATACTAACAACCAATATGAAATAAAAAGAGATTTATGTGTAGGCATTTCTTTCCCCGTATGATTTCTAGTAGTAAAAAATATTATCTTGAAAGTAGGAGGGACAATACTATTGTTAGTTAAGGCTACTGCCTTTCATGCTGATGACCCCGGCTCCATCCATGGCACCACAAGAGTCCCCTGAGCACTTTTCAGGAGTGACTTCTTAACACTGGACCAGACATAGCCTCTGAGCATCCCCAATCACAGTCATTAAGTATAGAAATGAACAGGGCCAACATATCTATTATAATCTCAACAAAACAGCACCTTGACTCCCAGATGTGGCTCAGGAGTGATTTCTAGGATACTTGGCACAGTGTGTGTGTGTGTGTGTGTGTGTGTGTGTGTGTGTGTAGGAGGATAGAAGGTAACAGGTAGGAGAATAGGTCAGAATGACTCTCATTTGCTGGGCTGCTGCTGTTTCTACAAACAGAATGGATTCCACTGGCATGAACAGATCCCTAAGGAGTCCACACTTGAAAGAATTTTGCACCTTTTTTCCATATTACAAAGCAGCAAGAACTTTCAGTTGCTCTAATGCTAAACTGTAAAATCTTGTCAGTGAAGAATGCTAATGACTTTGGACCAACACCACTGTTGAGAATTTTCTGATACCAAGCGAATACAATTTACTGAATATAAGCAATATTAGTATTAGCAACCTGTATATTCATAGCTTTCAGTGTAGGATGCTGATGAAAACAAGCAATTATTTTTCTTAGTGGTAGGCGAAGAGACCAACCATTACATAAAAAAAGAGGAAATGACATTCAACATTTCTTTATGTGTTTAAGTTTAGCAGAGTACAAGAACTTCCAGAAAGTAGTTGATTCTTAGGATTCTCATATAGTGTTCAACTTTTCCTTTGACGTTCCAAATGAAAATGGAATTCCATTTGGTCACGTCCTCTGGGTTGGGTGTGAATTACCGAGACACCATCATCACCAGAGAACACACGGCATACTTTAGGAGATATGGATGCAGGCCATGTGTGTTTGAAAATGGGAAATATGAGTCTATGTAAGAGAAATGTTCCAATCGCTTCCCTAATGTGCCAATTTCCCAAGTTTAAAGGTTAATTGCTGGTATAGTACTCTGAGGAAGCAAGGGCTGCAACATTTTTTAAATAAATCTGTTTCCCCTTCTTTCTTGTTAAAAATTACTCCCTCTGGGTCCCCAGATGAAGTCTCATTGCTAACACTCTCTCTAACCCTGGTGCTGGATAGCACTGCCCGGGATTTAATTGGATAAAAGCACACTCCCCATAAAATTCAATAACATGGAATTGTTTTTTTTTTAAATTTAAAAAGTGAGTCACAGCAGAAACTCTAAGAACCATGCATCTAGGAGGCTTATCAAGTCACCCTCACAACTAATCCACTTTCCACGCTTGACAAATTCAGCTTTTACCAACCAAATGATTGTTTGTACTCAGCCAAACACACCAGTCTGTTAAATTACTCTTCAGTAGCTCTCATGATTGCAATGTAAGCAATCCATTTTTGTCATTTTTTTACCACAAAATTTCTCTATAGAATTATTATGATATTTTCTACTATTCGTTCTTTTGAAATTATATGAGTCTGTGCTAACTGGGTCATGAGCTAACTTGGCTTTCTCATATCCACTTCTATCTGGACCCCTCCTGGAACACTCATTTCAGAACTGGGATTGTTTGGAAAATACCGAGAGGAGCTCTCCTCTAGAATTCCAACTTTAAAAGAAGGGCGCCTCGAACGAACCGCGCGTCGGCAAAGGCGACTTACACAGTCCATGAGCTCCTGAGCGGCGCAGTTGATGGCAAGGTGCAGGTTGGTTCCCAGTTCCAACCCCAGGTTGGTGCAGATGCCTTGGATGAGTTGCAGAGGCTGCTCCAGCGTGTCAAAGCCCATGGTTAGACAGCCCAGGTGGGAAATCCTGCTGGAGAGGGAGGGCTACAAGAGCCAAAGCAAATGGTGCAGATGAAGAGAGCTCACTCGGGGGCTGTCTCTCTCCAGACACAGTTATCCAGTAGAGAGAGCCCACTTGGGGCCCATCTCTCTCCAGACACAGCTCTCCAGTAAAGAGAGCTCACTCGGGGCTGGGGAGACTGCACAGGCTGGCTTGTCTCTCCCCAGACACAGCTCTCCAGGGTGAGGGCCTCTTCACGCCGCTTCCAGGGCCAGCTGGTCACTGTGTGTTCTCTGAGCAGAGGTTTACCCCTGTCAGGGAGGCACCTGCTCACCAGGTGTTCGGGTTTGACAGGGAACACCAGTTTCTTTCTTGTCTCTGCCAATGCCCATGGACTCGTCTGAGCCAGGACCACCAGGGCCCTGTCTGAGCCCCCTCCTTCCTCCTAACTCCATCCATCTCCCATGTGAGCTGCCCCACTGGGTTCCTTCTTCCTTTAGAATAAAATGTTTAGGATATAATTTGCATATATAACCCTCCTTTGGGGAAGGATTTATTTTAAAAATGATTCAAGTGTTAACTGGTGTAGGACACTGGGGATGGATGGCAGAGGTAGACTGGGAGGTCCAAGGTCCCCAGGCCCCTATGCCTTGCTCGCCAGGTCAGCCTTAGCATAACTGGCTGCAGTGCTGACTTGAGGGGTGTAGCTCGGGGGTAAAGAGCATGCCTTGCATGTATAAGGTCCTGGGTTCAATCCCTGGGGTCAAAAAATAAATAAATAAATAAAACGGTTACTCTGCAATTGGAATTTGAAGCAATAATTATGAAGTGTCAATAATTATGAAGTGTCCTATATGAATAACCTTTTTTCTTATGTTGTCAGTGATAGCACTGGTTAACTGTGAGAATCACCTCAGTTTTTTTCTTTTTGGGTCACACCCGCAATGCGCAGGGTACCCTGGTGGTGCTCAGGAAACCATATGGGATACTGGGACTTGAACCCGGGTCGGCCTCATGCAAGGCAAGCGCCCCACCTGCTGTGCTATTGCTCCAGCCCCAAGAATCATCCCATTTTTTAAGGATCAGTTCCTTGATTCAGCAAACCCACAGTCGAGGAGAATTCTGTATATTCACCGAGGAATTTTATTGTAGTCTCCTGAGCTGATTAAAACACTTAATTGGTGCTTACTAAATGCCAGGTACTATTTGAAGTGAATAGAATCTCCTTACACCATCCCACAATGAAGAAATTTATTACCCTTATTTTAGAAAGAGTTAAGTAACATGAAACTGACTGGGGAGGGGGAATGGAGTTTGGGTCATACACGGCAATGCTCGGGCCTTACTCCTGGCTCTGAGCTTGGGACTCACTGTGGCAGTGCTCCGGGAGAACATATGTGGTGCCGGGGATCGAACTGGAGGCAGGCGTTTATGAGGCAAGTGGCTTAACACTTAACCCTTAACTCTGGTGCCTTTGGAGTAAGTTTTACTCCAGAGAGAGTAGCTGTAGCACCATATTGCTAATGCCAGGATGACGGCCTGTTCAGAATCTAGCATTGAAGCGCTTGTCTGCAGGTCCGTGACACTCCTGGGGGGGAACGGGGGGGGGGGGGGGAGAGAGGAGGAGAGGGGGCGGGGAGGAGAGAACAGGAAGTAGGAGTGGAAGGGGCAGCAGCAATAGTAGTAAAAGCAAAGCTGATCACAAGAGCTGGTGTTGGTGTAAGGTTCTTGGGATGCCTGTGGCCACCCGCTGGACTGAAGGAAAGCACGGAGACGCACAGCTTGTTCCCCACTCCCAGTGCCCCTTGGAAGGCCTAACGCTGGGGGACTGTGCTTATTCCAACACGCGCGACTGCCTCCAGTCATTCACGTAATTCTCCTCTCTGGATTTTCAGGAGGAATATTTCACTTTTACCACATTCTTTTGATCTTAGCCAAAAGGCCGAGAAGCGATATGCCAAACACAGTAACAACAAGTCTCACAATGGAGACGTTACTGGGCCCGCTTGAGCAAATCGATGAACAACAGTGCTACCACATTCTCACCTTCCTTTCCCAGTCCCTCCTGCTGAGATGTCCAGGGAGGGCTGGGGGTGGCCTGTTGGGAGCCGCGGGGACTGCACCTGTGACCAAGCGGGCCCGTGCTCCCTTTGCCTCATCTCCAGAGTTCTTCGTGGGGTTCCTAACTGTAGTCCGAAGGTTCTGATATGAGTGCGAAACTGATGCCATGACAGGCTGCAGCTAACATTAAGTCTCAACTAGGTCTCAGTTTCTGTTTCTCTGAAGCAGAACTTGCAGTTTCTGGAAAACTCCCAGTTGAGTAATTTGCCTAGATAACGGAATGGGCAGTTGGGTCTGGCCAGTCGTGAGGGGTCACTGTACCCTCCTTAGAAACTGTTACTAAGGAAACTATTGTCAAATTGCTGACCACTGTTGTAATAAGGCCAATGCTAAAAACAGACCAGTAATATAAATTGCTTAACTCTGAACCCTATATAAACTGCTTGTGATTTGGAGTCGGGGTCCTTGTCAAGACTCCACTGTGTTGGAGACTTAGGCCCTAGCTTGAGTGAGTAATAATGTTCCTTTGCTTTTGCATTACGCTGTGTGGACTCGGTCTCTCTGCAACTGGAGATCTGAGACTCGGGCACAATACTGACATTAGATAGGTTTGGAACAAGTGCCCAGGGCCCTATGTTTCATGATCATGTCAGTGAGAAGCCTCAGCAGAAGCAGAGACTTTCCAGTTTGGCTTAAAGTGGCCGTTTCTAGCCAGGGTTGAGCGAGGCCTGACTGTCGTCGGGGTACCACTGTGCCCAGAGGCGCTGACTGGTCAAGCTCAGCTGCTCCTAACCCAGTGTGGTGAGTTTCTGTGGGAAAACTGCCCATCTCTGAGCTCCTGCGGCAGCATGTCGGGAACTGGGGTGTCTGCTCTGGGGCCAGGTGAGAGAAAGGACCATCTTTCCGTGCCGACACCCCACTCCCTTGCAAAGAATCAAAACCTAACGTGTCCGCTCTGCCTTCAGTTGGTTATGGGGACCCTTCAGCCTCCCGAGTAATTCCCCTCCAGGGTTCCTGTGTAATCCTATTACCGATGCCCAGACAACTGCCAGGCAGCCTGCGCCACGGAGGGCCGGGGCAGCACAGAGGCTTTCGGCAGGGGTCCTGGCTTCTGTGCTCTGGCCAGACCCCTGCACTATACTACAGTGCTGGCCCTGCAGGGGGGTCAGACAGGGAGAGAGGGAGAAAGTGCCCTAGGGAGGGCCGGGAACAAATACAGGTCCTCACCTGACCTCGTTTTCCTCCATCATGCCCTTTTTTGGTCTCTGTCTTTGGAGAAGGCAGCTGTGAACAGAAGACAAGAACATCATTTGAGATGTTTCAGACCTGCCTGGCCACAAACAGCTTCAAGTCCTCTGGGCTGTTCCCTGCTCTGAAGTCTAGCCAGTCACATGAAGTCAAGTTATCTGGCAGGTCTCTCTCTCTCTCTCTCTCTCTCTCTCTCTCTCTCTCTCTCCCTCACCCTTTCCCTTTCTTCCTCTCTCTCACACACATACTCACATTCTCACACTCTCACACTCATTTTCTCACACACACGCATTCTCTTAGTCACTCATTCCCGCCATCACAGTCTGACACACATTCTCACACTTTCACACATTCACACACACTCATTCTCTCACACTGACACTCATTCTCACACGCACATTCTCACTCACGCTCTCACACTCATACACTGTCCATGCCTGCTGCCTGCAGCCTTCATAAGCCTAAACTATTTCCCAGATTCAGGCCTGCGTTTCCTGCATTCCCCGACCCCAGCCTGTGGTCTCACGGAAGGCATGGAGTGAGCATTTCCGTCCTGCTCAGAGACTAACCACCCCTGCCAGCATGGCCTGCCCACCGTGCCCCCTGAGCCCTTCAGCAATAACATGCAGGTGGACTTCACTTCCATAGGTGTGTGATGTGTGTTCTATTGGGACTGAGTCTGGACGCCTCCTTCTACAGGTCAGACTTGGCATTCACTAAGACCTGAACACCCATTAGATCTTGTGGCTCAGGTGTGTGTGTGTGTGTGTGTGTGTGTGTGTGTGTGTGTGTGTCTGTGTGTGCGTGTGTGTGTGTGTGATGTCAACTGGAAGTCAAAAGCAAAGGGACCTTATCAAAGTTTGGCAGGAGTGACAGCACACGAAGCAGGGCCCTCGCCTTGTATAGGGAGCATACGTGTGCCCGTCAGTGTCAGGAGGGTTCACGGGTTCATAGGCAATTCCTGCCCCTGTTCTGTGTCCCCTGTGCCAGGTAGGGGAGAAGCTGTGTGAACAAGACAGTGCCCCGCAGTCATCTGGGAGGCGCTGCCGTGAGAAGGAGGCATGGCAAACAGGGGTGTGCAGCCCTCTGGGAAAAGAGCAGTAGAGGCGTAGCCCAAAGCCAGGAGCAGGTCTTCCTAAAGGAGCCTGAGGGAGAAGCCAGCTGCTGGCAGCCACAGCACGTCAGGGGTCCCTGGCACACTGCTGAATGATGCTCACTGGAGGCCCATGGGGCCCCTCCCTTAAAGCTGCAATGCCCCCTCCCTTTACCCCTCATAAATTTCCCCTGGGCAAAGCCATGGGAAGCCAGACTGAGAACCACTAGGACAGAACAGACAGTAACAACAAGTCTCATGATGGAGACGTTACTGAACCCGCTCGAGCAAATCGATGGGTATATTTGTATAAATAAATACCACTTGTGGTTAGAGCGATAGTATAGCGGGGAGGGCATTTGCCTTGCACGCGATTGACCCGGGTTCGATTCCCAGCATTCCATATGGTTCCCCGAGCACCACCAGGAGTAATTTCTGTGTGCAGAGCCAGGAGTAACCCCTGAGCATCGCCAGGTGTGACCCAAAAAGGAAAAAAAAGATAAATACCACTTGTGACCAGAGCAATAGTACAGCGGGGAGTGCATTTGCCTTGCATGTGACTGACCCGGGTATGATCCCTGGCATCCCATATGATCCCCCAAGCACCGCCAGGCACCGCCAGGAGTGACTCCTGAGTGCAGAGCCAGGAGTAATCCCTGAGCATTGGGTGTGACCCAAAAGGAAAAAAAAAGACAAATACCACTTAACTAGTGGTCACTTCTAGCCCCCCTCCCCGACCCAGCCTCTAACACAGTGGGGTGCAATCCCACATGGTGATCACACAATGTGAGGGAGATGTGAAAAAGAATTGGCTAAAATAAAAGGTTTCTTTATAACACAACCACCAACAATGAGTCCAAAGGCAACCTTGTCACGAGCCCAGTGAGGTAGCGCCCACCCCCAAGCACAGTGGTGCTAGTGTGGTCACCAGTGGAAGTAGGGAGCAGAGGTGATGGGGGCTGTCTGGTTGGGAGGTCATGTGCTCTACCAGTAGTTGACTTTTCATAAGAACCTTCTAGAGTCGCTTGTAGAGTTGAGAAAATCCTTGGAAACTTGCGAAAGTCAGGTAGTGACAGGAGAAAGCCCCAGTATCCAGCTGTCTCTGGCTGCTGGGAAACAGCACCCTGGGGTCACATGCTGTGCCCTGTCCCCACTGGTCATATGCACTATCCAGATGAGGGACTGGAGTCAGAGAGGTTTGTCACTGGCCCACGGGCCGGCTGGTGGTAGGTCCCAAGCAAGGAGCAAGGCTAAGCCTGAGCAAGGCCGGACAGGCTGGTTGCCCCCAGAGAACTGGGCCTCCTCTAAAGAGTCCCCCCAAAAGCAGCTCCCGGTTGCTGCTCACAGACACTGAGTAACAGGAAGGCTAGGGTCCCTCGCTTCCTGCCTGTGGGGTCAGGGGGAGCGGCTGCCCACGGCCGGGCACCCCTGTGGAGAGAACACTGGGGCCAAGAGCCTCTGGTCACACCTACTAACGCAGCATGGTCCCCACTGGCTCCTGCCCGGGTCCAGAACAAGGCAGGGGGTAGAGACATCAACCTTGATGATGTCTGCTGTTGTGACTTCTTCCTTTCAACATGCGTACCGCCCCAGGGGGGGACAGAGTGAAGCGCATTTGGAAATTCTCTTGTCACATCACTGTGGCGTTTCTGTGAATTTAACTTTATTTCCCAACAAAACTAGATCCTTCTCAGAGAGCCCCAGCGCCAAAGACTGGGCCCACTTGTGGTCTCAGACTCGCCACTGGAGGGGAAAGCCAGTAGTACCACACGCCTCTCTCCCTGCTCTGGGGCCTTCCCCAGAGGGGAAGAGCCCAGCACTGGGTCTGTGTCTCAGCCAACGTGAACACCAAATTGCCCTCAGATCCCAGTAGCCCATATCTTTCTTCATCAAAAGACAGGATCTGGGCCTGGAGCCAGCTGCCTCAAAAATCAAAATACAATCAGTAAGAACCCTTAGAAACTGCATCCAAAGGCAGCTGGGCTAGAGAAGGGACCACTAAGTAAATTATGGACCAAACATGATGGCCACTTAGTACCTGTATTGCAAACCATAAAACCCCAAAGGAGAGAGAGAGTAAAAGAGAATATGCCTGCCACAGAGGCTGGGGAGGGGGGAGGAGAAGGGAATGGTGGGAGGGATACTGGGAACATTGGTGGTAGAGAATGGGCACTGGTGGAGGGATGGGTACTCGATCACTGTATGACTGAAATGTAATCACAAAAGTTTGTATGTCTGTAACCGTATCTCATGGTGATTCATTTAAAAAAGTCATTAAAAAAAAGTCATACATTGATCGAGTACCCATCTTTATATAATACCCATATATATATGTATATATACATATATACAAGCGGCCAACATGGCCGACCCGAGTTCGATTCCTCCGCCCCTCTCAGAGAGCCCGGCAAGCTACCGAGAATATTGGATATGCCAGACACAGTAACAATAAAGTCTCCAATGGAGACGTTACTGGGCCCGCTCGAGCAAATCGACGATCAATGGGAGGGTCTTTACCTTTACCTTACATATATGTATATGTATATACATATATCACTATCACTATCCTCCCATTGTTCATCAATTTGCTAGAGCGGGCCCAGTAACACTGTGAAACTTGTTACTGTGTTTGGCATGTCGAATACGTCACGGGGAGCTTGCCAGGCTTTGCCGTGGGCGAGATACTCTTGGTAGCTTGCCGGGCAATTGAACTTGGGTCGGCCATGTTGGCTGCATGCAAAGCAAATGCCCTACCCGCTGTGCTATCACTCCAGTCCATATACATACATACATATGTATATATATAATATATATGTATATAAAGAAACTGCATCCATAGCAAATGGATGCCTCTCTGAGCTTTGGCCCTAACGAAAACCCCTAGAGGAAGCCCCATTTTTTAAAATAACAGTGCAGGCCATGGGGATGGCTCGTGACAAAAGCACCTGCCTTGTAAGCTTAAGGCTGGTGAGGCAGCAAGTCGGACCCCCAGTTCCAGCCCACATGAGCTGAGTGTTACCCATTGACTCTGCTGGTTGGGATCCCCTGGACACCGGAAGCAAGTGTGCACAAACCCTGGTCATGGAACAACAATGGAAAGGGAAGGGGAACAGAAAACGGAAGCAGAATAGTGTCACTCTATTGTGAAAGTAAGTTAGACACAAGACGTTCAAAAGGACCCACCATGAGGTCCCTAACAGGCTCTCATTACATACCATTTCATTTCTGTTAATGTATTTCTGAATTTCCAGAAGCATCGCCACACCCTGTAAGTAGAATAAACATCTTCCACAATTGCAGTTGAGAAACATTAGACAGAAAGACAGACCCGTGTGCGATTTCAAAGGGGTTTCTGCATTCGTAAGGGCCCAGACAATGTCCCGGCTGGTGGATAAAAATCAGATGATGAACTGTTTATGTTTTGGTGGCGGTCAGTGAAAGGCTCTTCTTGCTCCATTTCCTTTCTTTATCATTCAAGAACTAACTGCTTCAGTAGATTGGGTCAAGTTCAAGTTCATTCGCTTTCACTCTCTCTGACCACCCTTCTTGTTACAGATCCCAAGGGATCCTCAATCTACAGTGTGAAACCGTGTGAATCCACTACCACTAACCACTAAGTGGAAAGGGGTCTCTAGGGGCCATGGGATCGGTACAGGCAGGTGGGTGAGCGTATGTCCACTGGGTTCCTCATCACAGGGAAGACCCTGGCACCCAGAGGACCCGACAGATGGTGAGTTGGGTAGGAATGCTCTCCTGGCTGGTAAACTGCAAAGCCATGACTATTCTCTTTGAAAAAGAATTGACCAGGGCCGGAGAGATATCACAGCAGGTAGGGCATTTGTCTTGCATGCAGCCGACCTTGGTTCAATCCCTGGTACCCAATAGGCTCCCTCAAACTCTGCCAGGAGTGATTCCTGAGCACAGAGTCAGAAGTAAGCACTGAGCACTGCTGGGTATGGTCTAAAACACAAAAGGGGAAAAAAAGAAACTTTAAAAGAAACGATTTTCATTTGCTTAGGTAAACAATCACTCCAGGGCTGAAGAGATGATATGGAGATTGTGCCCATGCCTGGCATGCTGCTGACCCCTGGCTCAGTCCCTAGAGCCACTTGGGCCCCACACAGTACCCGAAAGGTAGCCCTAAAGGCCCCGAGCACAGCCGGGGATGCCCTGGTGGAAGCTGGCACCTCAGGGTGTGGGACTTACCACGTCCTCAGGATCCCCACCTTGAACCCGGGAAGTATCCCAGACCCTCTGGGCACCGTTTGGGAGTCCCCACCCCAACCCAAAATTCTTTTGGAGGTGGATGGAGTGTCCTGCAACTTTTCTGAAAACCTATGTCATGGAACATAGTCATCAGAGAACACATACATCTTGACTCACTGGAATTCCCATCAGGTGGAAGAACCAGAGGGGCTGTGGAAGACCCACACCCACCCCCTGCACACCCCGGAGTGGTACAGAGCTGTGACTTAGGCCTCCTCCATTCCATGTCCCACAAACACGCATGAGTGGTCTCTCAGGCCGGGCTATCTGCTCGGCCCTGGCTTTCTCATCTGGGAATAGGTTAGCAGGAAAGTGTCAGTTTCCTCTTATTTCCACTGGAGTACACAGCCCCACCCATGAAGGGCCCTTAACTCCCCCCCTCCCCCACCAGGAACTGCCACCCCACTCCTTCTATGCAGCAAAGCTACTCAGATGCCTTGTGTCAGGCAGGAGGAGACTCAGAAATCCGTCCTCTGATCACCCCCCCCTCCCAAACCTCCATGTGACTTCTTTCTTTCCATGACTCCTGATTTTCTAAAATATTTTTTCTCACCATATTTCATTCCTTTACCCTTAGTATCTTAAACCTGGGGGGACCTACACTAAAAGCTCACTGAGGAAGGAGTCTTTTTTTTCTTTAAGGCCCTCTGAGAGGCCCAGAGAGACAGCATAGGGAGTTAAGGCATTGCAGATTCAATTCCTGGTACCACCCAATCCCCTGAGTACTGCTAATATTGGTCACTCCTGAGTTCAGTCAGGAATGGCTTCTGAGGACTGCCCCAGGTACAGCCCCAGCCCCCTCTCTCCCTCCCCCCCCCAAAAATTCAGGTACTTGTTTAGTTGATAATCCAGGTTGGGGGATACAAATCACTTCTTTCATCAGATTCAGCTTCCCAGGTGAGGACTTGCCACAGCTGAGCAGAGTGACCATCAGCAAAGGCACAGTGAGCTTGGTTGGTGGTTCCTGGATGGGCAGGTCCCGGGGAAAGAGCACTGGGTCATTTGTACTGAGGTGTCCCTCGGGCCCAGGCACAGGGCAGAACAGGATCTCACCTCAGTGTGCTTCAGCGCTGCGATGCTCAAGTACAGAGGCTTGTGGGCCAGCACTGCGCTGGCTTTGGCGATGGCCAGGGACACGGCCCCGATGGCCAGGCTCCCGCAGAGCACAGGCTCGGCAGGCTCTGCGGGGATCACAGGCTTCTCTACCTGCACTTCCTTCTTCCCTGGGGGAGGTGGAAATACAGACCAAGGAGTCCATCTCCCCTGCCCCAATTCAGAGCAGCAGTTCCCATGCTCTGCTTATGCGTGTGGAAAAGGAAGGATGCAGAGTGAAGTGGAGAAGCCACCCAGCCCCAAATCCCAAGGAGATGCAGTTATTTGTAGTTTGAGTCCAAGAATTACTCTCTCAATTCCAACAACTCCTGATCTTTGCATCTCCGAGGAATGTCATCAGCACTAAACATCAGCACCAACAATCCCAGGAGGTGCTCAGTGCTGTTCTGCATCCGTGTGCAAGAAAAGCGCAGCTGTAGAGATTTAAGGGCTTTTCCAGTATTAACAGAAAGTGAACAGAGAGCGAACTGGAGAAGTCTCAGAATTCCAAGCTCTTTCATTTGCAGCTTCCATCATCCTATGCAACTTTCCGCTGAGCATCCTTTATATGTATGTCTATCAAACGGTTATCTGTGCCAGACTTTACTTTCCTCACTATCTCCCAATCGATTAGAAATGCCTTCCAGATCCAACCCTGCATTCAAAATCCTTAACATCTTTTACTCTCATTGTCTTCGAATAAGTCCCATGTGCTTCCTTCCCTCTCCCTTCTCCTTCCTTCCTTTTCCTCCTTCCCTACAGCTAGTCACCTATAACAAGAAGGTAAGAGAGTGCAGAAAGATACTCAAGATGTGTTCACACCCAGCACATCATACATGTTTGGCAGAATACTATCCTCCACTTCTCTTTCCTGAATTCCAGGTTCTGTTTTTCAAAAGCACCTACCAAATTAAGACCCCTTATAGAAGGCCACCTTCGATTCTTTAGTGCCTTCTCCCTTTTTTCTGAGACATCAGCTTAATAATACCTTTGCTTGGGCAACTCTTACCCTTTTAGCATCTGAATCTAAGAGCTAAAACAGGCAAGTAGTTCAACATAATCTACATGCCTCCCTGAGTTGCACTGGAACTGTTTTTTTCCTATTCAGTGGTGTCCACACTGGGCATTGAGCTCGCTCATGAATGATGTTATACAAATAACATGCACTGTTACATGGGGGCAGGAACACACAGCACAGTTTCTTAGCACTCATTTCAATAGTAGCTCCAGAAACAACATGCTTGAGAGAAGCTGAGGTTAGCAATATACTGGAAAGCCATGATAACATTTTTATTTTTTGGCTTTTTGGGTCACACCCGACAATGCTCAAGGGTTACTCCTGGCTCCGGAATTACTCCTGTGGTGCTTGGGGGACCGTATGGGATGCTGGGGCTCAAACCCGGATCAGCCGCTTGCAAGGCAAATGCCCTCCCTGCTGTACTATGACTCCGGCCCCAGCCATGATAACTTTCCCACCCCCAATACTTGTTTAAAATTTTTTTACTGAAACACCATGAGATGCCATGATAACTTTAAGGCTGGGATGATTTAGATTATTTAATTTGAGATAACAAAGTTTTCCAAAGAACATTTTGTATTGTTCCATGACATAGGTCTGAGATGAAGTTTGCTATTCATACCAAGGGACATCATTAAAATATGAGTGGCTCTTGGGTAAGCACATGGAGAATTGGAGGTACATGCCACCCACCTTTTCCCTCTCTCAGCCCTGCCACTTCATTCACCAAGTGCTTACCCTTGGAGGGAGGACTTTTTGTTGTGGCTTTGGTTTTCGGCCACACCTAGCAATATTTAGGGGTTACTTCTGGCTCTGCACTCAGGAATCACTCCTGGTGGACTCAGGAGACCATGAGGTGCCAGGAATTAAACCTGGGCCTGAAAGGCAAAGGCCCTACCCACTGTACTAGCTCTGTGGCCCCCTGAGGGAGGAATATGTTTATCTGGCAAATAGAATCAGAGGGTGCGATAGGGGTAAATCCCTCCCTGTCAAACCCGGTAGCTTCAAACATGAAGTGTGCTGAAAGATATATTGTTCTTGGTGGCAGCCCATCCTGCATCTGAGCAAAGCACGCAGTAAACCTGAGTTCAGTCCTGGCATCCCATATAGTTCTGAGCCCCACCAGGAGTAACTCCTGAGTGCAGAACCAGGAGTTACCTATGAGCACCACTGAGTGTGGCCCCACACCAAAACAAACAAAGAGTTTCTAGTTTGGAAAGGCAGCCACTCTCCCACCCTTCTTCCTCAGGGATCTGTCACTAAGGGTCTTCAAGTGAGCCACCCACCTGCCTTCTGCCCTTTCTTTCTGGCTGCTGGTGGAGGAGAGGGTGATGTAGCTGAAGGGACGGGCATAGCTGATATCTTCTTTTCCAATTCTTTCTTCTCCTTTTCTTCTTGCACTTTTTCTTCAAAGAAAGTCCTTCATGGCAAGACAGTGGCAAGAAATTACAATGGAATGATTTAGGGATGTCACTTGCATTGCAGTCATGTTTCAGTGCTGGCCCAACTGCAGTCCACATATTAACACTCTTTCAGCTATTTAAGAACAACCAGCTTCAATGTCCAAGGTCCCCCCAAATAATGATGCTGCTATAAGTTTGTGTTTAAGAATTGAAATTGCTTTTGGTCTGGAAAGAAACTCAGATGCTCTATTATTTTAATTGTTTGAGCACTGTATTTGTAAAGTAAAATTAGAAGCTATAAGCTGATTAAAGGTTACTGAATTTTTCCTTTGAATAACTGTGAGAAGTAGAAAAATTTAAGAAAAGATGCTGAAATGCAACATTTTGGTCAGACTTCCTTTTTTCCCATCATTTGGTAGAAAATAGTCAGGGGTCTTAAATGGTTAAAGAAATGTGGGAGCTCCACTTAGATACAGTGACATAAATTTTTGGCCCCAGAGAATGAGAAGAGGCCAAAAATATTCCATAGGCGAAAGTGAAGCAATTAAATAACAAAGCCATGGAGTCCAGTTTGTACTAGACCCTCTAATAATCCAATATGGGGGTAGGGTACCAGAAAGAGAGGGAGAAACACTGACTTCAAATGAGATTTCTATACTCAGCTAAACTGTCAACTGTGGTGGCAAAGTGTTGATGTTTCTAAGCATCTTAGAACTCAAAAACTTGGATGTATCACAATCCCCTTATCATCCCCTTTGTTTTAAAGAATATAACCCAGCAAACCAAGAAAGATGGAGATCTGGGATCCAGAAGTAGGAAGGCCTCTCTTAAATGGAGAGACCCTATGGCATCTCTATAGCAGACCCAGAGAAACACCAGGAGGCTTGGCTGGGAAATCTCCAGGAAAAAAAGTATGTCATAGAAAAGGATGCAGGACTGAGATCACGGGAGAGCAACTAAAGAAGTGACAACAGCAGATCAAACAAAGATAAGAAAAATTTTTAAAAAGAAGTGGAGTCATATTTAGAGCTTAACCCACTCCAATCTATCTCCCCAAAGCATTTTTATTAAAAATAAAGATTCTATCTAATTCTAAGCCAGAAAAAATGTGATCCTCCACACGATTAAGCATACAATGAGGTTTAAGGAAAGAGAATCCAGTGGACCTTTGTTTGACCGAGAGGGTCATGGCCTTAGACCTGCACAAAAGGGAGGTGATGCCAAGCTGGGTGTGGGAAGACACGGGTAGGGATGGCAGCGCAGACACAATTTGGTCATAAGATGTTAGAGCCAATTATAGGCAAGGCACAATAGCCTTGGCTGTGTCTAAATAGAAAAGAACCACCCCCTTTCACCCCTACCCCACCCCTCCCACTGTCACCACCAGAAGGACGGGAGGAACTCAACGGTGACATAGGATGTGATGAACAAAGGCAAAGGTGATCACCAGGATTCTCAGCCCTTAGTGGAAGAAACTTCTATTTGTAGTTTTTGGGTTTCACCCAGCTATACTCACTCCTGATAGGGCTCAGGGCTCAGGCACGGTTGTGATTGAATCTGGGTCAGCCTTGAACAAAGCCAGCACCTTACTCCCTAGTATTATCTCTTTCTCCCTGGCTCCTTGGTAGAAATGGTTTTTGTTTTTTGGGGTTTTTTTTTTTTTTTTTTTTTTTTGCTATATGGGTCACACCTGGCGATGCACTGGGCTTACTCCTGGCTCATGCACTCAGGAATTACTCTTGGCGGTGCTTGGGGGACCATATGGGATGCTGGGAATCCAACCCGGGTCGGCCTCGTGCAAGGCAAACATCCTACCCGCTGTGCTATCATTCCAGCCCTGGTAGAAATGTTTTCATTGAATTCTAGATAAACTCTATGAAAAGAGGTCACACGGCATTATGTCACCTCTCTCAGCCGGATTCTGACATCAGAGTTTGATAAACATCATGCTAAGTGTTGCTACGTTAACACATGTGGTATGCGGACTCCCAGCTGTACGTAGCCTGAGAGCCCCTCACACCCGTCCCGTCTTATGGGCAGGTCAGCTGCCCAGAGTCTCTTCACATGGAGTCTCTGATCAAAGCTGTGGGGCTACCTGAGCAGCTGGTCCACCTCGGCCTGGTTGCAGGGTCTCTGGCCCTGGAGCTGCTCTGAAAGCTCTTCGTTGATCCACCGCAGGGCTGTGCTCACCTCCTCGGACCGCTCCATCTCCTCCACTTCCAGCAGCTCGGACAGGGCGTTCTCGTGCACTTGAAAATGTGTGGAGATCGCCGCAGAACAAATGTTCTGAAAATAATACAAGCCTGTTCCACATTTTCCCCTCCTCTGGCAGAAAACAGGAACCTGAATTAAGCTGGCTTTTAATGTGCATGATATTTTATCACCAATTTCAAAGGGAAAATGAGAATCTATAATTTCCTTTGAGATCTTTTTATAGTTGTTGAGACACGATAGAATTCAACTTCAAGGAACGTGGAAAATTATTACCTTGAGAAAATACCCTTATAAAAAAACCCTTCCCCTGAACTTGTTTTTATCACTCCTTCTCCAGAAAAGTTAAAAGGGTACACTTTCATCCTAATTAGGCCCCTCCTAGAGACTGGCGCAAAATGATTTCTAACAAATACGTAGCTGTGAAAAGAAATGATTTTTTAAAAAATCATTCAAATGAATTTTTCTCTTATATTTAGCACCCTACACAACTACATAAATCTCTATACATACTCTGTGAATATATAAACCTATCTAGATTTATGGAACTCACATTAATGTCAGTTTTAAAACCATTCTCACTCAGTTAATTTCTCTAAAGATCTTGCCCCATCTTTAGTATGAGAGCTCAGTACCAAAGTAATGCTTACATAGAATGGTTCCACTTTGGTGGAGTATATGATTCATGGAGGGCTGGAGCGATAGCACAGCGGGTAGGGCGTTCGCCTTACAAGCGGCCAACATGGCCGACCCGAGTTCGATTCCTCCGCCCCTCTCGGAGAGCCCGGCAAGCTACCGAGAGTATTCGATATGCCAGACACAGTAACAACAAAGTCTCCAATGGAGACGTTACTGGGCCCGCTCGAGCAAATCGACGATCAACGGGAGGGCCTTTACTTTACTTTTACTTTATGATTCATGGATATGATACACTGTATGTGTGCATGCATATTTCATAAGCACTGAACTATAAAATATTCAATTTTCCACCATTTGGACAAGAAGTGCTAATAAATACAGTGGAGCCAGGACACAGAAGAACATGCTCCAACTGCTTCTTACCTTGGGGAAATTCCGAACGGTGCAGAAGATTTCCACTTGTAGGGTTGGAAAGCCCAATCCATCTAGTACATTCTTCCCCACTACCTTGCAGATGGTGGGAGGTATTGCCAATTCAGACATGCAGTTTGCCTTCAACATGCCAATACACATATGTGAAAAAAATAAACCACATCAAAATCACAATGTCACATCTCATTCATTTTTAAAATATCATGTGCATTTTTGCACTTTTCACTGAATCAAGAGTCATCCATACAAACTTTCCTTTTGGAGGTTTGGATTGAGCCTGATACACAGTCTAGGACACGAGGCTATCTATTTTATTTGAACTCTCAGCAGGAAGTTCCACTGATTTTCTCAGGATAGTTTCTGAGCAGGCCTTTCTAGCCAACCCCATTTTCCTACCCTATCCTATCACAGACTCTAGTGTTACCTGACCTGAGAACACTGCCATACATTCAAATTTAAGATACCTTACAAGAGCCCAGGTGTATACATCCCCAGAAGACAACTTCTATTTTAATAGTGAAGATTTTGTTAGAGGCTGCATTTCACTTACTGTCTGTTTGGGCATAGAACTAATGTGTTCAAAGAAGATTAGAAGAGCCTGATGCAGAGCCTGATGAGCTGGCCTTGGAATTGTCCCAAAAATGAGGCTGAGGAACTGGGTTCAGTGCCTGAGTAGAAAGATCAGAGATGCTGTTTCTATTTTTTTTTTTAGAGAAGTGGGGGCTCAAGAAAGGAGGAAGAAGGGCCTCTGTGCCCACTTGGCTACCAGCAAGCACTGGGCTCTGTGCTTGCTTAGCAGACCAGGCCTCTGATCTTTCAGCAGAACACAAATGCTTCAATGTACATAGCAGGCAACTGAATCCCCAAGAGTGACAAACCAGCACAGAGGTAACTGCCCAGCAGAACAGATAGGCAAGCCAGTTTCCAAGCCGTCCAGGCACTTTAAGGATGGAGCACTATCTCCGAAAAAGCCCCTAAATGAATTTGGACAGAATCAAGGAGAGAAAAGGATTGGCCTTTGATTTTTGTTGTGTTACAGTGAGTTGGATTCCAACTTGCTTGAGGACCCTATAAGAAATCGCCCATTGTGATACTAACAGAAGAAGAAAGGGAACTTAGAATTCAGTGCTTTGGATGTTACTTTGGTAGAGTAACTATGTCTTGCTTATCACTGTATCACGTAACAGTGTCTGCTATAAGCAGGAATCCATGCATTAAATCTTGTAAAATTGATATCAGATGCTCCTCCGGGTATTTATATGATGTCATTAAATTCTCAAAACATGATGATTTCTAGAGGGGTGGGGGGGTGCAGACAAGATGGGTGAAGGGAGGCAAAAGGCACAAGGTACAAATTTTCAGTTCCAGGAAAAGTCCTGAAGGCCTTTTTCAGTTGGGGGCCAAAGATGAAGGAATCAGCGTCTTGTTACATTCCAAACCTTTCCCATCCCCAAATTCCTCCTTCATGCGAGAAGAGCACAGGAGATACGGTACTGAAACAAAACACTGCAGGATGTATAGAATTTCATTAGGCAGAAAAGGGAGAAGTTGAGGGTAGATACTTACTGCAGAGGAAAGAGGAAAAGCATGGGGGGAGGGAAGGAGGGAATTCCAGGCTCTTGGTACCAGCCAGTGGGCTGCTATTACCACCTACGAGCCCCCTGGGAGCAACATCTGGGAGGGTGTCAGGAGGCCACAGGAGGTTCTGAGCAAGAGAGTGATGAACAGACTTAAGTCTTAAGAACTTTGTTTTGGGACCAGAAGCGACAACAAAACAGATTGACAGCATGTTTTGCATGAAGGAGGCTCCAGTTCTATCTCCAGAACTGCATGGCCCCCTAAGCACTATCAGGAATTACCCCTGACTGCTGCCAAGAGTAGCCCCAAGTACCGCCAGGTGTGGTCCTCAAATAAAAATAAAATAAGAACCTCGTTTTGGCAACACAACTCAGGATGAACTAAGGAGGAGGCAAGAATGCTAACTAGAACAAGGACTCAGAAAATTAAAAGGAGGTTTGGGTGCCTTTTGGTCAAGGCATGTTTTGAACATCCTTAAAGTCCAGGTCAGAACCTTCCCACTTACTGCAGCGATGGCCAATAGCACAGGGCAGAATTCTAACTATGGTAGAACTGCAGTGATTCCTCCTGGGCTTAGCACTGAGTCACAGGCCATCTGGCAGCCCAAAGGACTCAGAGGAAAGTCACAGTGATGAACGAGTCCATTTTCTAGCCTTAAGATTTGTCCCATGGAGCTGAAGTCTCAGCCAGGTGTCCCTACCCAAGGAGGAAGTCAAAGGAGTTAACTTCTTTCTTGAAAAAATCTTCAAGATTTTTCCCCAGCAGGAGCCAGTGGAAAGAAAAAAGGATTTAGAATCCCAAACAAACAACAATCCTGTGTTCCCTAAGTCTCACCCTGCCAGGCACTCTGTCAGACCTCTTCCCTTCCATCACTTTGTCTCTCATGTAAATGTCCCTCATCTACATTTATGGGATCAGTTTTATCAGTGAAACAGGAACACTCATGTCTGTTTCACAGTACTCCTAAGGAGTTATTAAGAGAACATAATAAGCACGTGACACACGGAACTCGGTAGACTCCGCGAAAAACGCATCTTCGTACATCTTCATCCTACATCCGCAACATGGTACTTCATCAGGTCCATCCACCTACTCTGCTGTGCCTCCCCGCACAGAGCAAACTGCTTCCAGTTCCAACCCGAAGAAGGTGGGGTCCATTGCCTAGTGGGTCTGGAGCTGGAGGTGAGACTAACGTCGCCCGGGTTTCTACTGCTCAGTGTTTAAGGCTCAGGGATGTGCCTTTGCACGAGGCTCAGGGACTAGAAGAGGGACTTTTTTTTTTGCTGCCTGAGGGGTCCTCCCTGCCTTCTCCCCTAGGAGGGCGAGTGGAGATGAGGTGTGAACACTGACAGATGAATCCCGGGGCGTCTCTGGGCAGGAGCTGGACGGCTGGGGATGTGCATCCAGGTGGAGAGAAGGGCATGCCAAGGACAGGGAGCTTGCAACTGGCGGAAAAACTTGGAAGCAGCGGGATCGGGCCGGGTATCAGGTCTCGGAACAGGCTGGGGGCCAAATTCTACCAAAACGCCAAGATGCGCGTTCCCCCAGTGGACCGAGAGCGGCCCGCAGAAGCGAGGCTGAGCTCCGCGGTGTCACAGCCCGTTGGTTTCCGCGGTGGCAAGGCCAACTGCCAGGTCGCGATCATCATCATCAGCAGCAGCAGGGTCGCTACCAATCCGCCGCCGACAGCCCCCTTTCCTCTGGGCTCTCCCGGCTCCATTCCTTCCAGGGCCGCCTCTGCGTGCCACCTCTGCACCCCGATTGCTCCCTCACCCCCTCCATCCTCTCCACACACACCCCCACACCCCAAAAGCCCGACCCCCAGCCGCGGCGGCGCGCGTGCGCGTCTCTACGGCGCAGGCGCACGGCGCTGCCGCAGCGCAGGGTTGGGGTGGGGGGGGGAGAGGGGCTGGAGGGACGCGGGTCCCGGGTGCCTACCAGGTGCCCGTAGACGTCGGCGGGCTGCAGGTAGAAGGTGGCGTTGAGCAGCTCCTCCAGCCGGCGCGGGACCTGGTTCTCCTGGTAGTAGCGCATCGCCTGCCGCCGGAGCTTCTGCAGCTCCCTGGCGCTCCCGGAGCCGCGGCCACCGCCGTCATCCCCCATGGTAGGAGAGCCCTGGCGACCGCGGGGCTTGGCCAGGGGTGGGGGGACCACTCCGGCGTCCTGCCCGTCGCTAGGCGACGCGACGCGCGCTCGGCCGCAGTTCTCGCGAGGCTTCCAGAAGGCCTCGGTGCTCCTGGCCCGCGCCCCTTCCCCTCCCGGACCCTTCCCGAGTCACGGTCCCCGCCGCCGGGGACCCCCTCGCCGAGCCTTGACTAGTCCTTCCCCCGCCTCGCAGTCATTGCTTCCCCCGGCCCCTCCCCACCTCTCCATCCCTGACGGTTTTCCAGATTGCGGGGAAGATGGAAATCTACCTGATGCGCTTTTTTGGCGGGCGCTGTGGCCGGGTCCCGACCCGGGGTGGGCGGGGGGCGCCCCGCTGCAGTCGCTGCTCCTCCCCCCTCCCCCCAAGTAGTGAGCTTCCCCCCTCCGCCTCCGGGAGGCTTTGAGGGGGACCCGCTGCCCTGGCCCGGGAGGGACTTTAGTGCTCAGGATCCTCCCGAGCGGGGACCGTGCAGGGACTCATTCATCCCGCGCCAAGTGGCGCAGTGCGCGGGCCGGCCGGCCGGTGCTGTCCAGGGGAGAAGCTGCGACCCTCATACACACACCCTGGGGCATCCCTGGGGTGAAACCCGTGGTGGCAGGGATGGGGTGGGAGGCAGCAGCATCGGGATGGACCTTAAGGCATGATTTTGGCTTAGCCAGTCTGGGATTGAGGGGGTGTTCCAGGCCACGCTTCGGGAGAGAAGTGGGGATGGAGGGAGCCGCGTTGGGTCCCTGGTCCAGCACTTGGAGAGCTCCCAGCTCTCCCGCCCAAGCGTCCCGCGCAGTTATGTAACTTGTCAGCGCGGGCCTCGGGATGCTCAGGCTGACTGCGGGTGCGCGGGGGTGGTGGAGAGGGTGGTCTCTTGCCCTACCCACTTCCCCCACCCCCCTTGCCTGTTTGTGTTTCGGACCTGAGCTTGGTCAAGTTCATAGAGCGTAGAAGGGACTTCACCTTGTCTGGAAAGCCCTCTGACCTGCCCAAAGACAAAGTGGGGAGAAAGCGCTTTGATAAATGGTATTTTCCATAAGGCACCCAGAGAGGTATAAAAATACGCTAGGCTATAAAAAGGTTTGCGTGAGCCCAGACGGCTCTCTGCTGAACTCCCTCCCTGCTTTTCTCCCGGGGTCCAGGGACTGTTCCACTTTTTGGGCTGTTACTGGGCCCTCCCTGCTCCTTCCCGCTCCGTGGGGACCCCTCTATGGCATGAGTCCTCATCCCTTCTTTCTGGCAGTGTTTGGGGGCCACAGGGCCACAGCTAGCAACGCTGGGGGTGGGGGAGGTGGCATGCTCTACTACTTCGAGTTTCCTCTCCAGACCCTCATTTGACTTTTTTTTTTTGGCCATGCTGGGGTTCAAACCCAGGGTCTCATACATTTGAGGCAAGTGCTCTACCATTGAGCCAAACCCCAGGCCCTTCAGGCCCCTCATATGCCATTTTACTGGAATACTAAAAGTTTCCCAGACTGAGATCATTGTGTTCTTGGATCTCCCCTCTCTGGCCTTGACTTCTATGTTCCATGAGGCCGGGGACTCACAGCTATGACTCCAGCATCAGTTCTCAGATCAGTAAACATTCGTTGAACAAGTGAAGAGATTTTATTCACAATAAATGCTTAACGAATACTTAAGACAATCAGATGTTTTAAAGTTGGGTAAGCAAGGAGTATACCAACCTGGCAGGACATAAAGGATTTGTTTTTCAGGAACAATAGGCATAAGAAGGGAAAGGAATAAAATATGTCACTCCAAAGTGTACCTTTGACAAAAGGTTAATTTCATGGATGGGTCTCTGGAGGCAGAATGGAGATGACCTTTGAAAGAGGTGTTTAAGGGTAAACCTCACTCTTAAAGGTGACTCCCTCTGTGTTGGTAAGACCTGATCTGCTCATTGGAATTTACATCTGTCATTGGCAAACAGTTATGTTACTGAACCTTCTTTGGTAACCTTCCTACCAGACCTTCCCTGGTTTCTCTTTCTCTGCTTTCACCTAATAATGTTATCTGTGGCCACATCGGCAAGTTACTCAGCTTTGCTTGGTTTCTCCCTAATCACCAAAGGACACGTTAGTAATTTTCTCCTTTTCCTCATCAATCGGTCTGAAGCTTGTTGAATATTTGTTTTACCCACAGGGTTATCGGATAATTCTTCCATGCCCCAACAATGGGAAACATCCACATTTCTGAGTACAGGGAAAGCAAGATGCAAATAGTGAATTAATAAGTTAACTGTAGCAGTCATTGGATTTGATGGATTCTTCATTACCCAGAATTCAGGAGACACAGACCGGAAACAATATAGAGAAAAGGGCTTACAGGACATTTTTGACAATAAGAAGAAATGGATGAGAAAACAGAGAGAAGGACATTACTTTGAAGGATTGGATGTGGGATTGGGGAAGCAGAGATGACTTGTAGAAATCTGTTACAGTTGACGGGGTAGAGAAAAAGCATCAGCTGATTTTGATGGGGAGAGCACAGTGCATTTGGTTTTAGAGGTGTAGAGTTTGGGGAACTCTGGTGCCCTTGGGAAAACGTTGGAAGCTATCTACATTAAATTGAAAGTTAAGGAAGAATTGAATCCTCTAAAGGGGAAAAGGCAAATAAATCCTCTTGGGCTCAGCACCTGAGTGTTCGGGAAGGAATATAATTAGGACAAAGGAAGAGAAGGAATGGCCGTACAAAACAAACACAAAAACCCACATCACAGCTCTGGAGCAGAGACCTGGGAATGTATTCCAGGTGACCATTTGTGTCTGTTGCACAGAACTGAGTCTGAAGGATCACACTTAGCTAATTGTGTTGTTTGGGATGGGATGGGATGGCAGAGGGCTGTTACAGGATCAGATGGGGCTTTTCTTTCTATAGATTGACAGTATCTTATTTCGGAAAGTGAGTGTAGTATATATAATCTTGAAATTTTAAATTAAAAGTATTTGAGGCAAGGGTATTAATCAAATAATTCAGGAGAATTAAAGACAATAAAGAGATTATTGAGAAGTTGGTTCTTCCCTGATTGATTATTCCATCTTTTCAAATAATAAAATGATGCAGGGTGATTAAATAAATCTACCATCACTGTTTACTTCAGTCATTCCATCAACAAATGGATGCCTATGGTGCCAGGCACTATTGTAGGCAAGGAAGAGAGGCAGAGAATGCATTCCTTCCCTTATGGAGACTTAGCTTCTGATGACATCCAGAAGCTCTTATGCATGAGTAAGTCACAGGGATGATAAGTCACAGGGATGATAAAATCACGGCGAAGGCCTTTTGAAAAGTTGGTTGATATGCTGAAGGTTTATTAACAGCCTATTCGTGCTGACAGATTGAGTAAATGAAATGATTCTTTATGAATATCGCAAGTTCCTCATTGTCAACAGATATAAGTACTAGCATTTTGGCGATAAATATGTATTCATGCATATGCTTAGTTTGTACAGACTTTTAACATTGATGACTTTATAATAACCTTTATTTCCATCTCATGCTCATGTTGCTGCCTAAGGGCCATGAAGCTTCCAGAACGGGAGCACTCGCAAGGGATCGGGTGTGCTGCTATTCCTAAATGGATTTAACTGGGGAGTTGAGAGGAGGGGAAGGGAAGGAAGCAGAAGGAGAGGCTCCAGAAGTATATGTAGAAAGTCCTTGGAATATATACAGGGGGGCTATTCAGGACAGGACAGGGTTGTTACTCTCTTACCTTCAGAAAGAGAAGACATTCGAGAGGATGGAGCCCATGAGTGGTAACTTCTCATATTTGGGGAGCCCTCATTAAAAGTCACTTTTATGACCTATGGGACATGTATAGTGTGGCACAAGGAATATTTGTATGGAAATTAGAAAAATCTAGATTAGAATCCTGTCTTGTCCCCAAGACCTTCTAGGAGCTCTTTAAGAAGTTGAGTGGATTGGACTGTTTCTTCACCCTTTTTGAACATGAAACTCTTTATTCCTCTGTAAGAACCAAAAGGGAGGGAAGGAAGGAAGGAAGGAAGGAAGGAAGGAAGGAAGGAAGGAAGGAAGGAAGGAAGGAGGAAGGAAGGAAGGAAGGAAGGAATTCAATGAAGTGTCCCTGGAGGGGTTATAGGTGGTGACTGAAGTCATCTGTACACCTAGAGACAGTTATTCTTTCATGGTCATTCATGAAAAGTGTTCAGGTACCTGAGTACAGCAGAGCTCCTTCAATGTGGGGATATGTATTATGCATTTGGGATTAAACCCGGGCTGGGATTAAGCCCACTGAGCTCTCCCTGCCCCTCTGCCCGACATTGGGAATTGAGGAGTGCCCCATTGCCCTGGACCTTGATTGAAATGTGCTGAAGTAAGGGCTCTCTACCTTAGAGTGCTTCTATTTTGTCGCTGTGATCCAAGATAAAATACTAAGGCAATTAGGCTACTCCTACTTACTAACTAAAAAAAAAATCCCTCCTAGAGATAATGAACCAGTTGTACACTGCATCTCACTGCTGTGTCAGATGGATCATCCACGAAGGAGATGGAGAAAAATGGAGTTGTTTGTTTTCCCCCTTTATCCTTTCCAGCACCTTCAGATAAATTGGAACTGGTTTGCTATGACTGTAACGTTCACACGTGATTTTGCCGATGTTATTTTGGGAATGCTACCAAGTGCTTGTTAATTCTTCTTTTTTCTGCACTGACCATCTGTTGAATATCGTTTTTCATAGGGAACTAATGAGCGTGGTTGCTAGTGCCTTTGATTCTAGACCTGTAGAGGCTGGAGGCAGAATAGATGGCTGTAGTTCCATGTCTTCATCCAGAAAATGGGAGTAAAAATGTCATCCTTCCACACCCAGCTGTCACGAATGAGAAATATGATTGCCAAGCCAATTGCAATACAAATAGCTGTCAATTAAGTGCTAAATACTAAAAGTAGGAACGGTTTGACTAATGACAAAAAAAAAAACTGTGACTTGTAATTTGATGTTTCCATTATTAAT